TGAGGCAGCCAGTACAAAGAGGATAGCATGATGTTCTTGGCTGCTCCACTGGAAATAAACATATATTGTGCAATGTGGTTTAGGAGACAAATGGAAGGGTTTGTGCACATTGTGCACTGGTACTATGATCCATAACCTTGTCCACTCCCCCCTACCCATGACAAAATAAAAGAGGCTGAGTAGTTTTTGAAGGTATACAGACTAGAGAGGGATAGACTACCTTTCATTGGATGCTACTGAAGTGCTACAAGTAATCTGGAAGATTGGCTTAGACTTCATCTCCCACTGTGTTCAGTAGGATGAACTTTTATGACACAGTGAGCTGAATCTTTGGGTTGGCTCTCAAGCAACTGGAAGTTGGTGGGAGTATTTTCTTGGAGCATCAAAGTCTATGGTTCATAATTGTTCCCACTACAAATACTCATTTTTCACATATGATACAGTATATCTTACAGGCAAGGCAAGGTCCTGTTTATCCGATTAACAAGTATTGAGCCATTCAGCTACAGCGGTCTATTAATACATTATGTAGAACAGGGTAAGGAAAATAAGAAATCTCTTTTTGCTTATCTGTCTTAGTTAAGGTCTGTGCTGCTCTCCTTGGAGGTAAGGAGTGTGAACCTAGGAGCTTTGGGCTTGCAGATCCTGGGCTACCATTGCTCTCCCTGGCCCCAGTGGCTTACTGGGAAGCCCTCTTTCTCCCCCGCCCCGCCCTGTGCCCTTTGTTCTCCTTTGCTAGCTTCAGTCCTCTGCAATCAGCTGGAGAGGGAAGAAGCAGAATGCAAGCTTGCTAACATGATTTGGCTGACAATCAAGGCCAGAGTCTACTTTGTAAACAAATCATTAACAAAGGCATGTTTATAGAGAATTGCTGGCACATACTTTGTAGGTTACCCGAGCTGCTTTACCACTCAAGTCTAAACTTGTTTGATGGTCATATGCCTGGAAGGGGAGCAGAAGAGTTACCATTTACAGAGCAGATCAGCTCTGGCTGGTGGCACAGAGATTCTTCACCCTTTCTTGTGGCCTGACAAACTAAAGTCTTCTGGAGTGGTCTGGGCAGCACACCATGAGATTCTGGAGTGGCCCTGTTGAGGGGTGACTGCTAAGTTGCTCACACCTTCATCAAATTCAGACTAGACTATTGTAATGTGATCACCAAGAGGCTGCCTACGCAGACTGGAAGCTTCAGCTATGGTGAATGCACGTGCCTGTATGCTTGGGACTACATGAGATGTTTGTGAAGCAGTTGGTTCTAACAATGTATCAGCAGCACTGGCTCTACTGATCTTGAGCCCAAGTCAAAATGATGTCTTAAAAAGAAACCAACCTTAAACCAATCTGCCTGGTCTGGCTCTCTCTAGACAGTGTGGGGGTCTCCATCATGCCTTCTAGTGAGCAGCACAGCCATAGAATCCTGCCCTGATCTTTCAAATATCTAAAGAGGGCTTGTTTGTGAACTGGCCAGTAGGTCCGGTCAGATCAGCATGCACATGAAAGTGGATGGATCGGGAACCTGGATGGGGATGATGGGAGCTTTAGTCCAGCACATCTAGAGGTTCCCAGAGTGGGGAAACCATATAGTGAAAATTATAGTCTATTAGACATCCTTTTATTTTTGCAGTTTTTAGTGAAGAGAATAAAAATGGATTGACTGAGCCCTTGTTAACTCATTTCTGTCAGATTCAACTTGGTAAATCAGTTCCAAACCCCCAGATTACAGACCCAGGAATTCATTATAGAACAATCAGAATGATAAGAAATTAAGATCTATTCTTGGCCCAATAAGCTGTCTGAACATTGCCTTGTTACAGTATATGCTTCAAAACTGCCCTTGTCCAAGGGCCTCATTTGATCACCTGCTCGTATCTAGATCATTTGCTTGACCCTTACCCAGGGAGATAGGACTTTTTGCTATCTTAATAAATGCCAGTTGCTCAATTTCCTGAGCTCAGAATTATTTTTAAGATGTTTGAAAAGTCAGCATTAAAACAAACAGTACTAGAACAGTACTCTTGTTCTATTTGAGCTACGTGTAGATGTGCTGGGATAAAATGGGGAAGGATTGGTTTCTGATCCAGAATTAGCAGGGGTACCTGCAAGGGAGGCAAAAAAAAAAGAAAGAAAGAAAAAGTGGTGGCTGTGACTATGCAATTGAAGTACTACCCTTTTTTTGCATGTTCCTGGGAGCCAGCTATATTCACAGAGCTCAACCACTCCTTCCTCTTGACAACTAAGGGGGAAAAAACCTACTCATCTGAGTCATTCTAGCTCCCTGAAAACTTTTGGAAAATGTTAGGAATGTTATCAGTTTCCACCTGACTTAAGTGATAATTGCCTCAGGGTATGAGCAATACTCTTCTGGCCCTTGAAAGGTACCCAGCCCGGTCATCTTAACCAACCCACAAACCCATAGCAGGCTGGTCATGTTTCACCCAGCAAAGGCAAAACTGATAAGACTGCAGTGACTTGGACTGTGTGAATCCCTCATGGCTTTATGGCTGATGGGCTATTCCTGGGTTATCATGCTGTGCTTCCATAACAGAACTGTACTACCTTCCGTAACTGTGGCAGAAGGTAGCCAATCACCAGTAGCCTGGTATGCTGTGCAAACCCAGCCATGGGAGTTATTGATACTTCATTGTCCTAAGCATTCCTCCAACTGGACTAACTGAATAAACCATGCTTAGCTTAACCACAGGTAGGTTGGTCAAACGATGTCCGATAGAAAGACTGGGATTTTTTTTCATGGATGAGGGGGTCTGTATTATCATGTATCCCTGAAAGTTGGGCATAACCTGATACCAGCTATATTTATACAACCTTCTGACTATGTTCCCATGATGCTTTTACCCCAGTCAGGTAAAAACCTAGAAGATGCGCTCATGCATTCCAAGCTTGGTTCATGTAAACCTTGTTTATTTATTTATATTTGTTGCCCAGTGTGTTGTACAAATCCAGCCTGTTCAGTTCTTGGTACTATGATTATGCAAGTTCAGAAATTTGCATAATTCAGTCACCAGGTTGTATATGTTGGGAATGCAGCAGCTACTGAATCACCAAAGCACCAACTATATTAAGGCTGTGTGTGTTGTGCATATCCAGGAAAGTACATGAGTATCTCATGGTGTAGTCAACCATGATGTATACGTTGTTTGATCCCTGCCATTTTTCAGTGTGCATCATAACTGTTACTAAGAAAGTTACCACCTTGTTTCCATGGCCCTGAACCATCGATCAGCCTGTCAACATTTGATCATGCCAATTGAGTGTTGTCGTGGTCAGCACATTTGCTGCAATTACATTCATGGAAGCATTTAAGGAGGAAAATTATCTATCTATCTATCTATCTATCTATCTATCTATCTATCTATCATCTATCTATTTATTTATTTTAAACAGAGTTAGGAACAGCCAGCAGTCATTGTGCTTGTAAGGTTAATATTAAAGTAGAGTATCAGAATTTTCAACTGGGCCTTGATTTCACTCTAAAAGCAGCCCTGTCTGTACCACATAACAACGTTTTTGAAAGTCCACTGCATTTCAAAACATGTTTTGGAATACAAGGGTGTGTTATCCAAAAAAGAACACAACTGGACACGCCCAGAAGCAACTCTCCGTTCTTATTTCTATTGCATCACCAGTCATTATAATTTGCACATACAATGCTGACAATAATGTTAACAACATATGATTTATACATCATGCTATCCCATTATTCATTTAAGCATACAGTAGTTCTTTAGGTTAATTACCGTTACTTGGAGTTCATACAACCCTGGCATCACACCAAAGCAGCCTCTTTATGGCTTAGCATAACATATGAACCCAGCCCCCTTCTGGAGTACTTTAGGGCACATTTGCAATTTTGGAACATAGTGTAGGCGCTATGTAAAAAGAATGGTTTTTTGGGGGGGGGGTCCTTCCCATTCATGAAATGGCTGCCAGGATGAGTGATCCCTTACAAGGCACCCTTTTACCCAAACTGCTGCCATCTGGGGAGAGGCACTCTTGGAAATAAAGACAATGGCTGACCTGGAATTTTTAAAATAAATAATATTTTAAATATAATAAGTCACGAGAGGCAGGGAGCTCTCTGGATAACCAAGAACTGTCTGCGCGGGCTCTGGTGTTCCTGGGCGCCACGTTGGGGACCACGGAGAGGGCTACAGCCCCCCGCCTGCCAGTCTTGGGACTCCGTTTCTCCGACGGCTTTGAGCTTTGGGACCTATTCGTTGCCTTCAGCGCAGGCTGCTGTGACGCAAAATCGGCTTCTGGATAACGAAACAAGCTTTGGCGTCCCCCCTCAAGGGGAGTTGTGCAGCAGGGGCCCCGGGAGGGCAAAAGATGACCCCCCCTTCTCGCTGCGGCCAAGGCGCCCCGAAGTGAATCCCCCTCGGCTCTGACTCTGCCCCTGTGCGGAGCTGGGGAGACGCCAGCCTTGGCTTCCGTTCGGGGAGCGGCTTTTCTTCTTGCGGGGTCTTTCGCCCGTGACCCGCCCCAGGCGGTGGGCGTCCTCGGAGAGACGTCGCGAGAGTCGCCGAACTTTGAACTGCGTCCAAACACGGAGACAAACAAGCCGAGGGGTATAAATACCAGGGCGCGGGGCGGACAGGCAGGCGAGCGAGCGAGCGGGGGGCGGGGAGGGCGGCTGCTGGACGGCGCAGCGGCGCGGTGAGTTTCCCGTCCGCCCCTCGAAATGTTCGCCGAAGTTGCGGAACGGGACTTTGAAGCTCCACGAAGAGCCGAGCGGGGGAAGGGGCGTGAATGCTTTCAAAAACCCTTTTCCTCCACCCGTGGAGCGTCTCTAAAGACGCTGGGATCCACGCGCGCGTGCAGAATACGCTACGGCTCGGGCTAAACGCTCGTCCGTGAAAGTGCGCGGCTGTGTTTACGCAGCACCGCTGCACTGACATAGCCTGGGAAGCTTGGTTGGTTCCAGAGATTAAAGTGGGGCGTGGGGATTTTTTTTTTTTTTTGGTGGTGGTGGTGGTCGTTTAGCAATTGGTGGGAATCCAGGTCTTCAAGAAAGTTTTTCTAGCGAGGTTGCGTACAGTACAAACTGGGCTTTTGGGTGCGAGGCTGCTAATCGAGATTTCGCTCAGAGGTAAGCCCACTGAGTCCAGCGTGGCTCGCTCCCTTGTTGACGGGCAGAGGATTGTAGCCTTTTGTATGGAGTTGGTTTCTGATTGTGCATTTGAACAGGCTCCGATGACACATTTGTGTTAGGCTGTCGTGGTGCATTCTCAGATGCCTGTTCACTGCTTAGGTTTGGGACCTGCAAGAAAATACTTGCTTTATGTACAAAACCAACTTTTCTTGAAGTGGTCTGATTAGAATTGCCGAAGAAAGCAGAAACAGAGAAAGGCAATGAATTAGATGTTGTATACGTGTGCAGGATTGCATTGTCACTCACAGTACACCATGAACCACTTAGTCCATGAGAGCCCAAAATCAGAAGGAGTCTTATAGCACCTTTTGAGACAAAATTTGTTAGTCTGAATAGATGCTACTAGACATTTCCTGATTTCTGGATAGCTTGTAGAAGATCACCGCTTTAGAATAATCGAACCCATTGCATTCTCTTTCAAGGTAATTCTGCAGTGATTTCTGAGCAGATTCAAAAATCCCATTTTCATGGTGTGCAAGGCTCTCTCTTATGTTTTCAGCTTTCATATACACCAAACAACTTGTCACTTGTGGAATCCTTGGGGTTCTCTAAGCTTGGTTGTTTTCTTGCAAACATTGTGTTACCCAGCTAGGTACACCTTCAGTGCTAGAAGGGATGGGGTTTGCTCTCTGGTTATTATACTGTGGCATGCCCTGCCAGTGTTGGTGGGGGCATTGTTTTGCTCCTCTGGTAGTTCCTTGATTAGGGTATTGTTTACTGCTTGCTTGTGTGCCTGGTGCTAACCTCTGCTTATCTGGGTGATGACTTGGTGAGGAGATGTTCTGGTCTTTTGTTTTCCCTTCTTTTGTCTCTTGAATAGTGTGTAGATGTTGTTTATTTCTATGTGTCTGTTGATGGCTGCCTTGTCTGAATATTTTTGAGTATTTTTGA